CAGTCTTGGTATGATTCGGCCATTTGTGATTGCCTTCTACCTTTCTCATTGTTTTGTCGAGGGTCGCCCCGGGTATTGTAGCTCGATTTGTCTTTCTTGCCGATCATGTTAACTTTAGCCGTGGCCTTCTTGTCCAACATCGCTATTGTGCTGGACCTTGCCTTAGCGCAAGCGACATCCTCCTCCACCCTTATGTGCTGATACACCATTTCCATCAAAGTTTCTATCGAAAGAGGTGAAGTCGTAGTCATTGAGTCCATCAATCTGTGTTTAACAGGCAAGCCGCGTTTGTACTGGGTAATAACTAGGTTAGAAGGGTATTCGCCAATTTGGTTGAATGTCTCCCAGTACCTATTGTTATATGACTTCAATGTTTGATTATCGCCCATGTCAATAGTGAGCAATTGGTCTACCTCCACAGGCATTTTGGTGTTTGTTTTGAACCTGGTAACAAACGCCTCCGTGAATTGAGCCCAAGAGGCAATGCTTCATTCTGGAAACCTCTCAAATCACGTCAAGCCCAAATCCTCACGGCTTGATGGAAGCAAGATGCACATCAGAGCTTCGTCTCTTCTGTGAATAGCCATGACTTGTTGAAAGTGGCTAAGATACATGTAAGGATCCAACTTTCCATCGTAGATCGTGAACTTGGGCTGGCTAAAGCCCCCAAGTAGAGGCGCGTTCTCTATTACTAGTATGAACGACGAACTCTGCAACCTGGCCAGCACCCTATCTGTTGGATCATAAGCAAGATGCAACATTGGTATTGCAACCTCGACAATTCCATGCATTCTAGTAGCAATCGCTGCAAAGCAGATACCCTTTGGGGGTCCTGCGCCTAGGCAACTTCTCTCCTTTGTGCCCTCTTCTCTAAAATAGTCCGCAAATCTTCTAGTCTGGGTAGTTTTGTATTTGGGACGATGTTTGATGAGTGTGTGAGGGTCTGTAACTATTACCCTCAGTGTAAGATCTTTCAGACCTCACCCTCTTAGACCTGGAGTGGCGAGTTCTGGAAGTCATTGAATGAGAGTCACTTGTCTTGAAGCTTTTGCTCCCAGAATGTGTATGTGTCGCATATCCATTTTGATCTCTCGAACTATGAGATCGTGTTCGTCTTTCACGGATCTCCACCTCTGTCTTGTCTTTGTCTCTCACTTGGTGCTTCAAAGCCTCCATGTTTGCCGCAATCTCCCTTATTAACTCGTCTTGCCCCCTCACGCAATCCTTCAGAACCTGGGTATCTGTTCGTTGTCTTTGTCCATCTAAGCTTTGGGAGTGGCGAGTGCTCAAACCCTATTTTTCTCGTGGACCCCTATGAGGGTTCTGATGCTGAGGGTCCAAATCCATCATGGACGGAGCAGGAGGCAAATCATAAAGCCTCCTATTCACTTCTAGCGTCTGGCTATCAATGGCGGAATGTGGCAAATCTTCGTTGTGCGCCATTAAAGCTTGTTGAAGGAAAACTTAATCAAAAGGTAAGTTTTCTGAGATTCTCACAGATGGCGCCAATTATACGAGCTTAAACTAATCTTTTTCATATAATCTTGTTAATCAAGCTTGTACTCCTCCAAACGTCATCGTTTTGCTACTTGAAAACACAAACGTAAGCTAGCCGGCGGGTGTGTTCCGAAAACCCCTCTGATGCCTAAGTCAGCAAGCAGACAATCGACACAAAAGCTCTATGAATTTGGGAGTATGAATTGCAATGCCTAAGATTAAGGTTTGGTTTGAGCTTTTGTAGATTCCGCATGACTTAATTCTAATAGGATTCTAACTCTCCTATGTAGAGTCTTCTTAAAAAATCACATTCCCAAAGGATAATGATTATCATTTAACACCTTCCTCACTGCAAGCCAAGTGTGATGGCACAAGTCGTTGCTTGGCTTTCTGTCGTGCAACCAAACCACTTCTGCTAGCCGTGCAACACGCAATGTCATGCAATGTTTGCACGACACGCCACTAAGCTGACATTGCGCAACTCTCCTCCTAGCTCAGCTCTCCTCTTGGCTCGACTCTCCTCTCTGTTTGACTACCTTGCTTGGTAGCTCGGCCATGGCATTAACCGTCACTAGGAAGTAGCTAGGTCTAGAAATATGGTCATTTACAAGTTCGGTCAAACATCTTTGACTACCATTAGGAAGTAGCTAGGTCTAGAAATATGAACATTTACTAGTTCGGTCAAACATCTTTGACCGCCACTCCAACCTAGCCCGGCTCAATTTGGCTACACAAATTACCCTCTTAGGAATAATTCATATAGATTGTAATAGATAAAAAAAAATGTTTAGAACTCACAAAAAAAATCCTAATTTAACCCACGAAAAATTCGTAATGTTTGAGACCCTTAAAAGCCCTCATAATTTGACCCACAACATAATGTGGTATAATGAGTGTTAATTTTTGATTTGTTACATAGTCAATGATATAGAACCTAACTCTTTTGTCACATTATTGTGGGTGAATTTGTGAATTTAAAAATGTAAAAGTCGAACATTTCTTCCATATTATACTGTGTAAATTTATAAACATAAAATTGTGATATTCTAGCACTTAACTAATAAATGATAATTCAATAAACTAATAGAGAAGAATATAAAAGGAAGCCAAGTGAAGAAGGATGGTTGAGTATTTATGTTCAATATTGACGTGGCTGTCAAAGTTTTTTTTTTCAAATTTAACTTCATTGACAACAAAGCTAGTTTGTCTCGCCTTTTCTTTGAACTGGAGATGTGATAAATAAAAGGAAACTTATATGACAAAAGAATTTTTAAAAATTAATTACGAAGAAAAATTTATAAATTTACTTTTTAATATTTATAAATTATAAGGTTCATCACTAATTTTAATTTTTTTTTCTAACCCATACTAATATGAAATTTTCCTATAAAAAATTGTATTTAAGTAATATGTTTTGTTTTATTATTATTATTATTATTATTATTATTATTATTATTATTATTATTATTATTATTTTGTTCAACAAGAAGTAACAAATTAAAAATGCATTCTTCACAATTGGCCAAAAGTCCTTGCATAATTCACTGCTGTAAATCGGGCTTTTAGTGGCGTTTTAAAAACGCCGCTATATCTATCAAAAACGCCGCTAATTCATTTTGTGGCGTTTAGTACCAAACGTCGAAGCTGCGGCCGTCACTGTATCTTTGCGACGTTTAAAAAACGTCATGATATTAGTATAGGAGGCGTTTTAAAAAACGCCGCTAAATGTCCCACTATACACTCGCTAACGTCACCAACGATATTTAGCGACGTTTTGAAACGCCGTCGTATCTGTTTAAAAAATATGACCGTTACTGTTGAGGGTTTAGGAGGCGTTTCTGGAAACGCCGTTATATCTTCTTTTTTTTTTTTAGATTGTGCTAGTTTTATTTGATTAAATTAAAAAGAATACCTGTAAGAAAATATTGAATTTGGTTTCTCATTCAATTAATAAAAAAACACCTGTAATAAAACTAATATACAAAATATTAACTCCCATTCAAATATCTGTAATAAAACTAACAGATAAAATAATAACTCCCATTCAAATAACAAATGAAGCTTTAATTCAGTTTCATATGTGCATTCACTGTGTAAAATATGTGTACTATCATTTACACGAAGGCAAAGTGTCCCCCGTATCAACAACAAAGAAAACACACAGACCAGAACAAAAAATAAAACTGACAGTGTTAATGGTTTTCCCATCCTGTTCGACTATGCGGATTTTCTGCATTAGTGGACATAAAAATAATTACTACCTTATATTAATGTCAAAATAATATGATACAAGCCAAGGGAAATAAAAGAGTTTGCTTACAAAGTCAACTCCAATAGTGCTAATGTAACTTTCTAGATATGAGTCATCCTGATTATAGAAATAATAAAAATGGTAAACAAAGTTAGCAGTAGTCTGGATACAAGAAGTAGTTTTGAACAATAACACAATCACATGAACATAATATGGAGAAATGAAGCATGCTTCCCAATTATAAAGCCAAACTGCTTATAATTGGTGAAGTTTCACAACGGGTGATATATGCCAACTGCGATTCTGTCGGTTTCTCAACCATTAAATCAGGGGCTCAACTCCTTCCTTCTCTTGCAAGTTAAAGAAAAATGCATGTACCATGGAACATATTAGACTTGTGCTTAAGTCAGAATTTTAGTACAAAATGTTACTTGTGTAATCTTAATCCACATCACAACAACCTCCCACTCACACAAGCACCAGTAGATCTGTTGCAAAACTAACCTAACTACTTGAGCTTGACTAGTCTTTGGCTTGTTATATAAACAAGGCAAGCTTAAACACATTTTAAAATTAAGTTTTCAATCCAAACTTGAACAACCTACAACTCGCTTGATTCAGAGATATGCACTATAAAAAACCAAGCTACTCAATTCTGGCTTGTCATCAAAATGATATTTAGCTCATTTGACATCTGGTCAAAAGATAAACAAGCCAAGTTTAAACACGTTTTGAAACTAATTGTGCTTTCAAGCCAAACTTGAAATCTCGTTTACAACTCTATATATCTGAGTAAATGTCAGTATCCTGCAGGCCTTTAGTGAACAAAATCAAGCTAGAAATCTAAAATTATGCTTGGTAGCAGGTGAAAATCATATAGAAGAATAAAAAATTAGCTCAATCTTAAAAAGAAGACTGTCAAAGGAATCGTCAATAATACATATGTATGCCATGACAATTGCTCATAGACAATGAAACAAGAGTTCATATAGTTGCAATTTGGGAGTATAAAAATAGATTGAGAATTTGACATCCAGATTCAACCAAAAGAAAAAAATGAAAAAACAAGAAAGCTTTGAGATAATCTAAGAAAGAGAGATTTCAAGTACAACAATGAAAGCAAACCCCTGAGCCCAAATTCAAAGCTTCAAATGCAAAGATGACTTCATAAATGGTCACCCCTTTAATTTTCCATCTCCAAAAATACCCAAATTTAGTCACTAGTCACAACAGTAACAACCAAAACCGTAATTTCAGAACCAACAATGCCTTACAAATCAAATGAACATAAACCACGAACTAGTGATATTAGTACTTTTACCTTGTTAGTTCTTCTTCTTCTTCTTATTCTTCTTCTCTTTCTTTGAAAGGTGAACCTATATTTAATAAGAGCAAGTATTGTAATTAATAAGATATGTTATTTGTCAAAAAAGATTTGATTTAATGATTGCTCACCTCTTGGGATGAAAATGCATGAGATTGTTGTTGATGTGACATTGGCCGAACAGTGGGATGACTACTAAGTGAATCCACAACCTATCGTTCAATAAGAGACTTAAATTGTATATTAGCTCTAGGCAATTTAAAGTAATAACTAGTAAAAATAATTAAAATACCTGCTGCCTATGTAATGGGTTTGATGGTGCAACAACTGGATCAACGGGCACGCCTGCAGCTTGCAATTGAGATTCCAAAAACTGAATTCGTGACTGAAAATCTGTGCGTATAGCCTGAATTTGTTTCTCCATTACTTCATTCATCTTCGACTCAAACTGCATTTGATACCGTTGAAGTTGCTCTTGAACTTGTTCCTGAACTTGAGTTTGGAAGAGACGATTCTGCTCTTGTGACCGCCTATATCCACCTCCAAAAACATCAGTGGGTGACGGTCCCAATCCAAACGTCCGAACACGACCAGGTCGCTCTGGGCCCATAATTTGTGTGAAGATTTGCTCCTGTAATGCTGAAAGAATGAAAAGGATGAATGGAGAGAATAATTATACCTCCAGTCGAACTACTGAGAAAGGCTTTCGGCCTGTCCTATGATGTAATGTCTTCTTCTTCCGGATTTTTCTATTCTTCTTGCTTGATTTCTGTCCAATATGAAATTTATTTAAGATGTTATAAAAAATTATCATATATAAACATTTTTTCACATAAATAAAATTTTACCGATGCACTCTGAGTGCCCCAATAGTAGACCAAAGCCCGCCACTGATCCTCATGTACTCTATCTGGTCGATGAGCCAACCTTTCTGCATCATTCTTGAAGGGTTTGTATCCCATTGTTTTCACTCGACTTTTCCAATCTCTCCATTTCTTTCCAAATGAAGCCATTATTGTTCTCTTCATGGATTCATCTGCATCCGTATGAGCCTGCATTACAATTATAGACACTTGTAATATGCAATGTCAACTACACTTGTAATATGCATTTCATATGGAATACAATTGTAACTTATTTCATATTAAATATCCATATATACCTTTATCTCCCTCCATATGTTATCTTTGTTTTGTTTTGGAACATAATGCCAAGTCGTAAAAGTGAGTGGTGCAAGACTCCCATCTCGTGCCAAAACGCCCAAATGTGAAGCAAGGGATGTATGTCCTTCAACTACTTGATTCAACTCGTTTGGAACAACTTTTAAAATGCCATCATCACTAGTACCCTATTGACCATGCACATATGTGGGACCCCTTGTCTGCTTTTGTGTGGCTTGACTTGAGCTAGGACCTACAAAACAATAGTAGTAAGCTTCATATCAGTTTCTTTATGATGCAGTCAATTGGTAACTGAAGATTTGTTCTATTATTTTAACAGTCCTAGACTCAATGACACAGTTCTTTCTTGCTTATTTTCTATAATAGTGTTCAACATGAATTCTAAATCTCTCTTTCAAATATTAATATATATTTTTTGCACTACTCATTGTTACACTAGATTTAAAGTAGTCTGTTCATGCACAGATTTGATAAGGCCTTTTCACTGTTTTATATTTTGCGAATTGGGGCTGAACTTTCGGGTTCTTCTTCACAACAGACTCTTGTATTTTTTCAGCGGCACCATGATGTACCTCCCTCATTCCTAGAGGCACAAAAGATCTTAAATAGAGTAACCTGTCCATGATTTGACCAAGTTGAATAACAATGATCTTCAGCCTCTGCCCTATAGAACATGTTAAACCTCTACCACTGTACTAGTATCAAGATTCTAAACAAACACTACATCACAAGCATACTCAAACATGTATAGATAGATGATATCAACTTGATTTATAAAAACAATGTCTCTTGTGGTCACTGTTGGACGATTGGTTACTTTGTCGAGTTCGACTAAAAGGCAACATGTCAAAGAACACCTGGGAAGCTCGAGACAGTCCCGAAAAGGAACTGACCGGGTACTTACCCAAGGTTGAGGAGCTCCCTTCTGCACATGCATACCCAAACACAAACATCATCGCAGATTATGGACACAGAGGTTGCCAGATATTAGCTTCCATACTTGCCCGCCAACCTCTTCCTAACATTGAAAGCATTTCAAGTGGAATTTTTCAAACCAGCGATGATGGCAACAATGGTGGTTCACTTTACGAAATTGGTTTAGACAAAGGAAGTTCTCTCCTCGCAGATTCTTTTTTTGATACCATTTTCAGTGCACAAAATGGAAAATCCAACGAGGGGATTAGGTATGAGAATCTACTTCTGTCTACCAAGACAGTGACCAGCAACAAAGACAATGAGGATCTTCCACAAGTCAACACACTAAACATCAACGATATGAACTCCTATATTCAAAATCAGTCTCAACAATAAGCAAGGACACTTCTATGGAAAAAAATGCCGTGTTGAATACAACACTCTGCAAACACTCTTAAAAGCATGTAAGATACTTATTCAACGAGTCTTATTTAAAATTTTAATTTCATAATACTGGACACTTGATAGACACTTTAGCAACACATCTTGAACCCTCCAAACATGATCTATGTGATAAATCTCTTCATAATAACAATGTTGTTCATTATTTGAAATACAATCAGTGCACTCTAAATATGTCTTGAAATATTTATAAGATGTATTTTAATATTTTTTTAAAATATGTTCTTATGTGTTTTCAACATTGTTGTGTAGGACCATGTCTCTGCCATTTAGATTACAATTCAAGCCTACATCAGTGGAGGCTAAGCTTGAATCAAGTAGGTCAGGTCAACCATACCTGAGCCAAATAGGTCAGTTGTAACATTGGTTTAATGGAATGAGAGTTTGAAATCAGATAAACCCCAAAACGAAAACCCAAAACAAACCTAAGAGCTTCATCTCTTCTTGATTCTCTTGGTTTCGATTTAGCTTCAGTCAAGGTGTCTTGTCATCCAGTTTGTACTGTAGCCTAATAAGCACCAACATGTTAAAATACACAGAAGCTTTGAAGACCACAATATGAAGACCAGATGTTCTCTCTTTATCCCCCTCCCCCTCCAAAGATCAAAAACCAACAGGCAATTCATCCACACCAGAGAACTTGAAAGTACTTAGTTGTTATAGTTTCTGCAAAAGGATTGAGAAGATAACGATATATTTCCCTTGGAAGGTATAATAAGAGGGAGGTTTGTGTGCAGACTATAAAGTGAATGAGTCAAGCACTTCTAGGCAATTTGTTCACCACTCAAATTACTAAGCAACCTCTACTACTTGCTGTTGTGGGGCTGAGGAAGAAAATTTGAGGTTCCTCAGGTGTGTGCTTTAATGCTTGGAGGCAGTCTAGGGGCTGTGAATTTATCTTGGAAGAGGGAGCCAACTCCAATAAGGAAAGTGGCAGATGTAGTGGGTTTGGACATTCAGTGGAAAATTTGGGTCAAAAGGTGGTCACTTTTTGACACTAACAAAATTTTATGATTTCTTTGAAAATCCCACAAATTTGTCCCAATACTTTTATCAAATGAACAAATCTTGAATCTATTCTGCATGTTCTTGAACTTTTCATGAATATCCTTAAAACTATGAACTTTTCATGGTTATTTTTTTAAAATAACCATGCATGATGTATGATAGATATGACTACAAATCTAACTCAAAAACACCATAAGAAAATATCAAGCAAAGTTGATACATACCAGCTGAAACAGAGCCATGTGATGTACTACCGCTACGTGATGTGGTAGGAAGACTGTCTGGTGGATGCCATGATGCCGGTGGATCGGGTATGACTTTCATCTTGAGTGTGTTCTGAGTCTCATCTGAATTAGAACTACTAGAGCTTGATTGCTCACTTTCACTAGAAGAATGGTCGAAGCTAGAACTCATAGATAATATCTATAAAAAAACGACAAACATAAGAGTAAGGACATGATAATCTATAAATATCTACTGCATTCAAAACAAAATAAGAGTACATGAAAGGTAAAAATGGCCATTTAAAGAAAGGTACAAAGGTACAAAAGCAAAGATTTTATTAATATGAATATCCATACAGAAAACACAAATGTAAAAGTGAATATGCTGCCAATTACAATATCATATCAGTTCTTCGTCATCTTCAAATTGTGCCTCTGTCGATGCTTCAAGAGGTCCAATAGTTTCATCAACAGTTGTTCCATCAATACCTTGCCTAACCCAATCCATATACTCCTCACAAGTGAAGGAAGCTACATCTAACTCTTGATCACCAAATCCTTCCACTTCGTTGTGATGTAGTCCTTCATCAATAGTTGGTTGTTCTCCACACACCTCATACAAATCTCTAGGTTTCATCTTGAGTACAACATTCGAATCTTCATCAACAAAATCATTAACATAAAAGACTTGTTGTGCTTGAGATGCTAGGATGAATGGCTCATCACTGTCTTGTTTCTTCGCATATAACAAGTGATTAAAATTAACAAGTGTAAAACCAAAATCATCCTGCTTAAGTCCCTTATTGTTATCAATCCAGTTGCACATGAATAACATGTATCTATGGTCGTGTGAGTAATACAATTCAATAATATCTGTCACATATCCATAGTATGCTACATCACCTTTCACTGGATTAATGTCTTTCGGACTTGCATAACTAAAAGTCTTTGCCTTCACCATAACCCCACTATTCTGAGTTTTTCTTCTCAACTCACAACTCTTAATATGATACCTAGTACCATTAATTATATACCCATTAAATCTGGTGGCCTTTCGGCTGGGTACCAAAGCCAAAATTTTAATCTCTTCTGACAACGCTACATTTTCAGTAGCTAATAGCTCAGCAACCTATTTTTCAAAGAAAGTTATTAATATTAAACATCAATTAACAACTTCAAAAATATAGAAGCACATGGATTGAAAAAATATAGAAGACTTGTGCTTAACATGCAGTTACATGAGAATTGAACCATTTGGGAAACTCATCGTTGTGACGACGATCCACATCATAATCTCTGAGATGACGATGTGACCGCTTAATAAATTCACGATGTTCCCTATACAATTAAACTACTTGTAAAATGCACGATAATTATAGTTGGTATAAATACATTCACAATGAGACAAAGGTTGCATCTATCTTACTCTCGATATGGGACAACCGCAGCAATGTTAAATAACATATACCGATGAGCCTGTACCCATGTTGTGTTATCAAGAACAAAACCTTTTCCTTTTCCTAAAGCCCGCCCCATTAATATCTCAGGATTGTCATTAACATCGCAATTCCTTAACGGTTGATGCAATTTCGACTCAACATCATGCAAGTACCTTGAGCAAAATGTCATACATTCTTCGACCAAGTATCCCTGTGCAATTGAACCTTCAGGATGACTTTGATTACGCATGTATGATTTAAGCGTCATAAGGTACCTATAAACAAAAAGATACATACATGACTTCCAAGTATAAACAACCAAATATATACAAAATGGATATTGGAGTAGAATTACACACCTTTCTATAAAGTACATCCATCGATATTGCACTAGACCGGCAATCTTCGCTTCCTCTGCTAGGTGAATGGGTAAGTGCTCCATTATATCGAAAAATAATGGAGGAAAAATTCTCTCAAGATGGCAAAGTGTAAGAGCGATTTGGGACTGAAGACGATTTAGACCATCCACCTCTAGGGTTTTGAAACACAACTGCCTGAAGAAATTGCTTAACTCAATTAATGGTTCAACCACTTTCTTCGGTAACAAATTTCTCACTACTATTGGAAGTATTTGTTGCATGAGTATATTGTTATCATGACTTTTCAGTCCAGATATGCTACGCTGTTTGAGGTTAACCCGACGAGAAATATTGGATGCGTAACCATCTGGAACTTTGATATTCTTTAGAAGTGTGCAGAATAGACTTTTCTCTCTATTGTTCATGGAAAAACATGCAGGAGGCAAATAATACTTGTTTCCAACCCTATACTGAGGATGTAGTGCCTTCCGAATTCCCATATCTTGCAAATCTCGACGAGTATTTAAATTGTCCTTCCCTTTCCCATCAACATTTAATATCGTCCACAATACATTATCACACAAGTTCTTTTCAATGTGCATCACATCAAGATTGTGGCGAATCAAATTATGCTCCCAATATGATAGCTCAAAGAAAATACTCTTCTTCTTCCAATTATGACCCGAGCCCTCATTTTCCTCCTTTTCTTTCCCCTTTCTATTCCGTTTGCTAGATTGTTGACGCTTAGAATTCAATTTGAACTTAGGGCCTAGCTGTTGTAGCACATTAGCCCCTGATAACCGAGTTGGACATGGTTCGAATTCATGAGTGCCATCAAAAGATGCACTAGCTTTCCGAAATTTGTGACCCTCATTCAACCAGCGACGATGCCCCATGTAACATAATTTCCTTCCGTTCTTCAAATATCGAGAACGAGTATGTGTGTTACAACAAGGACAAGCTAAAGCACCTTTCGTGCTCCATCCAGACAAAATTGCATAGGCAGGAAAATCATTTATAGTCCACAATAACACAGCATGCATTCGGAACATCTGATTAGTTTCCGCATCATACGTGTCAACACCGTTTTCCCACAGTTCTTTCAATTCATCCACTACAAGGCGTAAATAGACGTCAATATTATTTCCAGGTGAAGAAGGACCATCGATGAGCAATGTCATCATCATATCAGGTTGCTTCATGCACAACCATGGTGGCAAATTGTATGGCATTATAATAACTGGCCAACTGCTATGAGAGACATTCATTGCCTTGAATGGATTGAATCCATCCGCTGCTAAACCCAGTCTGACATTGCGAGGCTCACTCGCAAACTTGGGATACAAATTATCAACATTTTTCCAAACTGGAGAGTCAGCAGGATGTCTCATTTTGCCTTCATTAATTCGGCCCTCTGCATACCATCTTATTAAAGAATATGTTTTGGATGACATAAACAATCTTTGAAGCCTTGGAATCAATGGAAAGTATCTAACAATCTTCTGTGGAATTCTTTGTTGCTTCTTCTTAACATCATTCTTCTCCCCCTCAAACTGTTTGTATCTAGGCATATGACACACTATGCAATCATCCATACCAGCTGTTTCCTTCCAATATAGTGAACAATCCCTTGGGCATGCATGTACCTTATGATAATCGAGGCCCAAGTCCCTAAGAAGTTTCGTAGTTGCATAAAATGACTTTGGCAAAGTTTCACCCTTTGGGAACGAATCCTTCAAAAGCTCAAGCAACATCGTGAAAGACTTGTCACTCCATCCACTAAGGCACTTGATGTGGAATAACCGAACAATAAATGAGAGCGTTGAAAACTTCTGACACTCAGGATACAACTCTCTTTTGGCCTCTTTCAATAAATTGAAGAATTTTTCGGTTTTCTCATCTGGACCTTGTTTAATGCCAGAACTTGCTGCCTCGTGAATAAAGCTTGGTGGAGGAAGTCCAAATCCTTCGTATAGCATTTCATAAGTTTCATCACCATCATTCGAATCAGTTTGCCCGACATTCACATTGTGTGGCACAGGTGATGACAAATTCTCCCCATGAAAAATCCAACTGGTGTAACTTGGAAGAAACCCGTTGATCATTAAATGTTCCCCTAACAGGCCTTTCTCCACCAATTTGACATTACGACACCGTTTACATGGGCATGTGACTTCATTCAACAACGGCTTATTTTCGCATGCAAATTTAATAAATTCCTTAACCCCTTGTATGTATTCCGGGTGCAACCTATGTTGATTTATCCAACTTTTATCCATCTGATTCTCTCTTACACTACAAATGCCACTGCCAAATCAACAAAGTTCAAAATTACCGTTCCGTTTTAATTAATCTTAACCTCAATTAAGTACCCTATAATGCATGCAATGTGACATCATTCACCTCTAACTGGTCTCTAATATGTTGGTTCATCCTACTTTCCCATTTAGGAATGCACAGTCTATATTGTAAAAAGCAGCTCATACCGCTCTGCTCATCTCTAACAAAATTTCGGCAGCATCTCCCCATGGTTCTCCAAATACACGACATAGACTAGGTGTACTGTTATACCTTGTCTAGTATGCACTCGGAGAACACAAGGAGTTGCTACACGAAATCTCTATGAGATAGACTATAAGCAGTAGAACTACTAATTACAATACAGACTTGTGCTCCTGAATTGTCCAACTGGACAATCCAAGAAGAGCTTCATTAAAGATGACTAGGTATCTCTAATGAAGATTCTTGGACGGGTCTAAGGCTATTTATGCATGCATGCACCATTAATGATTGCATCCCGGTGGTTCAATCTAAATTAGTACTATCAAACATACTAGAAGCATATCTAGTATAAAACATATTAATGAAGAAACCAAAAGTTTCTACAATGCTCTTGATAGATTATGATAGATTCAAGAAATATATTGCTCTCTCAAATCAATCAATAATGGAATAATTTTGGCAGGAACTCATGGATGTGGGAAGTTCAAACCCACTACCCAAACCAATAAGTGTACCAAAGATCGAATACTTCTAATGATGATGATGATGATGATGATTCAGAAACATCAAAGAGCAACCACCAAATGAGGAATCACATTCACAATCACAATTACAATCACAATCATATTAGTTGAGGAATCACAATCACAATCACAATCATAGTCATCCACGTTAATAACTATGAAGAAAACTTGTTTGAATTGAAGACCAAACTTCACCATATAATACTACAAATCAAGACAAAGTTACATGCAAGACAATTCTTTCACATGCTAGCTAGATGATTATTTATTTATTTATTTATTTATTTTGGGTCAAATAACCCTCCAAATGAAGTTAATTGTATCCTACACTCTCTCAAATTAATCTATCATGACATTATAAAATTAGAAATTAATTAAAGGGTTAATTAGTAAAATGTCTATTCCTATATGGTCATGTGTTATCCAAGATTAATTTTTCTTTTTTATTTTTTCTGATAAGGATATGTTTTGAAAAACTATCAAAATTGCAAAAGGCATTAGCAACAGTGAAGTAAACATAAATACATCACAAGAGGTGAATAGTGTGTGAATGATTCTACCATTTATCCTTTCCCGTTCTCAACAAATTTAGCTAGACTACAAGAAAATAAGAACGGGTGCCACATCTAAAACTTCTCATAGAATAGTATGAGTTAGTTCCTTTCTGCTTCAACTTGCATAGTTGTCAATTTTTGGAATTTCATCTTTTTTGAGGGATGGTTTCTCACTGCTATGTGTATGTTCAACTAGCAACATAGTAGGAAAAAATAGGTAATGTCCACAGTTATTCGAGGAAATTAATATATAGTCAGGAAAATAAACTCAGAACTCTATATTGATTATCTCAAAAAAAAAAAACTCTCAGCTCTCAAACAAGAGCAAGGATGAAAGAATTCTGATAGCATGATCCCCACAAAAATATGAGAGAGCACTAGTGCACCAGCTTAAGCTCAAACTAACCTACCCACGCATGACCCAAACTCCTAGAAGCCAATACAACCAGGTATAGCCTTCAAATTCACTATTAGCTCCCTTAAATTCAACATAAGATGGTACAAGTAGAAAATTTGACATCTTCTCAATCATGCGGATAATGATGATTTTTCATTGACTGGCTGCCACTACACCACTTAATTCGACAGAACAGAACAGCTTCTAGCCCTTGTACTACTCACTTCCATCATCCATATTTCATCATAAAATAATAAATTCTGTTACTTGTTGGTTGATCCATACAGATAAAGATAAAACCCTTTTTTAACCAACCAACCAACCAACCCTTCTTCCAGTACTTACTAACCAGGTACCAACTAGTAGAATCACCTATCAAATTCGTCTTACAATAGAGAAGAAAAGAAAACTTCGGCAATCACCTAAAAGGGTTAAAGTAGACATACTATTGAAGGTATTTCATTTGGGCCTACCCTCCTAGGAAAGAACATCAAAAACCATATCATTTAAAAGGGCCAGTGTTGTCACATTTCGGTTTCTTTTACATCATTGTACTCTAATAAAAGCCATTCATGAAAAACATTAGTTGCAGCATGCACAGTAGGATAATTTTTCAAAAAGCTTTGGAACAGGAGAAAAAATAACAAGGAGAAACATGGAATTGAAAGTAAAAACAGAGAATTAAATGAGGAATGAAAAGCAACATGACAATGATTCGAGTAGAGAGAACAAAAGACTGGAGGAGTAACCATTGTTAACTCGGCCTCAACTGTTGAGGAATAGGACAAGTTCATACTGCTGCTCATTTTTGCAAGTGCAAAGCTCTGTTGCATTAATGTTTGCAACAAAAAGAGAGCATTTCTGTTAGTTACTAAGAGTTTTCTATTTACCACTTCCAGAATGAAAATGACTAGAAACAGAGTTGACTGCTTTCAACCCAATTTGTTGCTTCAAAAGTAAACGTATCAAGCACCTTAGCTTAGAAAAAGAAACAACCATATTTAACAACATAATGAGAAGCCATCTAAAACAAAAGATCATATTTAAGTCTTCCGGTGAGGAAACCCTAAATCAAGGTTTCCTTCTCCATTTGATGTATTTTCTCCTCTAATTCAGTTGATGTACAAAAAACCAATATGAATTTGTTTTGGGGGTAGTTTCTCAATTTCCATGCTTTCTATGAAGGGAGTCTATTAGTCCCACCCTAGCTTTTAACATCTTTCCCTGGAGGGACTATTGCTTCATATCACTACCACCATATGATGAAACTGTAACAATTTTTTTTTGTACAAAAGCAGTAGCAAGGTGCTCCACAATAAATTCTTTCCCATAAGAACTTTCTGCTGCAAGGTAGAAATAATTTTTTATGTTTTAAAATAACCATCTATGTATCAATGTCAAGCTCTTATAAGTTATAACCCTAGGCAACTCAAACCAACATAATAGCATCTTAATCCTAATTAAAAACACAAAGCACAAGCAAGTGATGGCCAGCCTCCACCGTTTGAGAATGTATGATAAACAAAACCATTAACATTTAAATTATCAATATGCTAATTTTTCAAAGTAGAAAACATACTTGATTAGACCAAGCATATCTAATTTGATAAAAAGGCCAGATTGGCTGTACAAAACCATTAACATTTAAATTATACATGCAAAATGTACAACAAATCAGCTTGTAAAATCAAAGCAACAACAAATTCAAGTGAATTGTGAGTAAAATTACAAAGCTGAATCTCTAAATCACAGAGCTGAACTGACAGATATAACTAGGGTTTAGACAGCACACAGAGAGAGAGAGAGAAAGGGGGAGAGAGAGAGTAGCTCACAGATCTGAATCGATTTTGAGAGAGAACTTCGAAATGGCTCGGATGAATCACCGATCTGAATCGATTTTGAGAGAGAACTTCGAACAGTGCAAAGAGGGCGAGAGAGAGAGACTGCGAAAGTGAGAGTGAGAGCGTGAGAGTGAGAGTGAGATTTTCGCTTATACTTGCTTATCATATTCAAAATAAAGGTGAAGCAGAAGAGAAGGAGGGGGTGGAACAAAAAAACCATTCCAAGGCGTTTAAAAAACGTCTTTGATTCTTGAAACGGCGTCGTTTCAATTACAGAAAAATAAGACGTTTCTAAAACGCCGTTAAATATTAGAAACAATGGCGTTTTAAAAAACGCCGTTAAAAAAATGCCGCCTAACCCCATATTTCCTGTAGTGATTTCCGAAAGCCTCGAGCCAAGAGAAAATATAAATACAAGCCTTTCAAGCAACTCCTTCAAAGTTGACCCAAAATCCTTATATAGTTTCTAAAAACCCTCCACTAAGGTCATTCCACCAACTAAACTAAAGGGCAAAATAAAAAAATGAAAATACAAATCAAGAGTAAAAAAGAAAAAAAAAAAAAAACTGTTTTGGCTATTAGTGAAGTACCACTTATATATAGACTAGGTATAAAATGCTTGTGTAAGGCAGATGCTACTATTGTGGTGAATTTAAATTTAAAAAAATTCGAATATTCTATAATATAGACCCCATTTTGGGATGTGTATTACATGTTCCAATTATAATATTTGCGATTTTTTTGCTGTGACCTATTATGTTGTTAGCTATGACTTGGTTATGTATCATTGTGATATTAGTTATAACCTTTTTTTTTTTTTTTTTTTTGATCAACAAAGAAAATCTTTATTGATGAAAACATCCAAGATATGAGAAATTGCATCAATAAAGAGGAGCTTGGAGCTATCACAAGCTCCAAGCGCCAGTTGGTGAGGAACCAACAAACCAAAAAACAAAAGATGCTGCCACAACAACAGACTTAGATGAAAAAATACACAAAAAACCCGAGAAAAATAGCAGAGACTAACAGGTAATCCAACTTGAAGACAACAACACAAAACAACAACAAAACACATAACAGCACAAACTGGTATAGAACAGCACAAAACATCTCAGAACAGCAATCATTAGTTATAAGCTATTGTAATTATTATTTTAGTTATAATAAAAAAATCTTTATGTTAGGTCCCTTAGTCTTGTCAATCTCGCAAACAACTTGTGTAATTGAGTTGTAAAATTTCCTTACTATTTTGTCTTCCTCGCTCGAGCGAAGGACTGCGTCTGGCTTAAAACCTGAAAGAGATAATTGTGCGCTCGAGCGAAGACTTTGTGGCTCAAGCGAAGACTGTGTCTGCATAAAAACCTGAAAGGGTTTATTTCTCGCTCGAGCGAAGGTTTCGTGGCTCGAGCGAAGGCACTTATGGAAATCACGCGAGTTAAGGTTCTCGCTCGAGCAAGAGAA